TATTCAATTAAATCCAATTTCTAAAAACTACTCTTTAGAATGCAAGCAGTAGCCTGAAGAAATGTTTGAATGTCGATTTTCATTGTTTTTATTCGTGTCATTTCTCGTTCACTGTAGTGCAGTGCCCAAAAAAGCAAATCAATATTTTTGCCTCAGTATGCCAATAAGTTCATGAGTATCTAATTTGAACTGTATCTTAATGCATTTTAAGTATGTATCTTATGTCATTTTAACAGGAAATCTGCCTGAAATTAATTCTTTTGAAACCTGTTTTTCTTTGTATTTGGCAAGACGTCAGAACGGAAGTGACTCATCGACATTAGAATTGCGATTAAAAAGGTAATTGACAAGTTGATAACAAATTCCTTGCATACTTTTGCAGATTATAGTGACGCACTACGAGTGTCATTTTGACAGCACACGTGCTACTTATCATACCATCCCGATTTAATTCACTTCTGAGACTGTCTCTATCTGTATATTTTACTTCCCTCTCTTTTCTAAGGTGCTCCCAGTTCTGCCGTTATATTTTTGATCATGCATGATAGGGCACAAAGGAGATTGGATAGCCCGACCCTGAGAACTATAGTGAGGACTGGCCGAGGAAAGAATTGCTTGAAGTCTGTAGAACGTTGTTGGAAAGCCGGAGGGGATTACGAATTCAAAAATTATTTTTTTGCATTAAAAATGTTGTGTAATTTTGTATTTGAAACAAATCCAATTTTATTCACCTACGTTCATGGCATGACTTGAGGTTATGTTGGATGTCATGATTGGGAGCATGACACTCAGTTCAAGATTTTTGTTCGAATGTATTTTTAATTTTAAAATGGGTGTTTGTGTCATTTGTGACCAGTTGTAGGGATGAAAGTTGATCAAATGATTGCGAAAACTGTCTTTTTCTTGTGTAGTGTGGTGGGAGTAAGTTACGATTAATAATTCTGCACAAGGTGCAACTATGTATTAGGAAACTTCGAAGGCCGTAAGTTCAATATTTTGATATGTAAGGAACATTTTCTGCCAAACCAAGAAAGATAAAAGCCGAAACTTTTCAGAGCTACTAATTATCACATTATGGTTACAAATGAATAATTGTCAGTAAAATACATACATACAATATGTATAATTTTTAGAAATATTAAGAGATAAATGGCAAGAAAATGTGTAAAGAATTTGTAATTTATTACAAAATATATAAAATAAATTATACATGCTTGTTACGAATGCAAACCATTCAGCGTACGAGTGAAACTCTAATCCATATTATTGATAAATTTCTACACATTAGCTCTATTACTTATTGATAACATGTTCCTTAGAGAAATACCATTTTAGTATGGGAAAGGGTACTCCCTCCGACTCTCTTTCGGTACTAATTTGACATTCTCCTAGAAGGATACAGAAGGATCCCATGGAACTGACTGATTAAATCGTCATTGAGGCAACGATACTGTCACCACTTAGTTGATGACGGAAAATCTGCCAACATTTGGACTCGAAACCGGGACGGTGGCAGTCAGTGCGGTCGCTGGTGCGGTCTCCGGTCAAACGCGATCAGTGACAGTTGCTGCCACGAAATAACAAGCGGTTAAGTACTCGGTCAATATCTCATATAGTGGATTAGAAATTTATTAGCATATTGCGTTGAAATATATTAAGTGAACATTAGAACCAATTCATATACAGTTATGAATAGCATCAGCCATGCTTATAACCATCTGACGGCGAAAAGTGTGAATAAGTTAGATATCTCAATAAGAAATAATCAGTTTTGAAAATAAGGTATTTCCTATCCCAACAGAAGTGAAATTTCGAATAGTATCACTTTCCCTTTTGCAAAACAAAAAAATAATGTATAAATTTAAATAACCACTTTTAACACGTATGTAGTACGAAAATACGTTTTACATTGAAACCATATTGTACTTGCAGAAATATCTCGAAACTGAAAATACTCTTATTCAACGACCAATTCATATACCCATTCCTAATATTAAATATGCTGTCTTACTGAATTATTATATAACTACTTGAGGCTATGCACACCGGAATATGTTTTAAAATGAAGTCAGGTGCAATGAAAAAGGTATAAAAACAAAGTACACAAACACAACAATTCAACTTGAATTCTTTTCGATTTTACTTTAATAATTTCATTCATGAAATATCTGTCAATTAAACTCAAGAATTACGTGCGTCTCAATTAGAGACATTTTTATCCATAAAATTTAATTACTTTTGTGATAACTTTATTTTTTAGTACAACACTGCTAGAAGTTGTCTTATTTCAATAATTAACATTAGTACCTCGTTGACATTAATATTTATTGCAAACTTTATACTATTTATTCTCATACGCACACGTATTATTTTATGATGTAATCCTCTTAAATGCCACTCGTGCTCTAGAAATATAAACTCTAACACACTGGTAATGTGACAAAATTCTGAAAATACATAGTTGTTAAAAAATATTTTTTTTAAATAATAGTTTTAAAAGTCAAATTTGGGTAAACTTCTCTAAATAGAAAATCCACTTTTCTATGAATATGTTGTTAATGGGTTACCTG